TGTTTTTGTTGTTGTTGTTGTTTTTGTTGTTGTTGTTGTTGTTTTAAGTTCCTTTCCATGAGGTATAAAATCATAGACCGCATAGGCTGGAGGACATTGGAAACAGTGGCATGTGTTCCCTGTCCCTGTTTCACAGGTGGGACAACTAGGAGAGGAGGTGAGCTTGCCCAGGGTCATTTTTAGTGTCCCTAAATCCCAGGGGAGTGCTCGAGGCACTGGGGAGACAGCTGCATCCAGACAGCTCCACATCCTTGTGGAGCTGGCATTTCGGCCCGGGAGACAGGCGCTCGAGCCACACGCTGTTAGGACGTAGGGGTGACGAGTGTTGTAGGGCGGGTCCAGCAGGGCCCCAGCAGGACAGCCAGGGCAGTGCCGTTTGCCACTGTGAAGGGCGAGTGGGAGTCGATGTTGGCTGCCATGCAGATGGGCAGATCGTGTCTGCAGAGGACGCTGCAGGGGTGACGGCCCCACAGTGGGGTCGTGCTTGGCCTCATCGTGCACTGAGGATGCCTGTCCAGCGTGTTCCGAGGAAGTCGGCAGGAGGAGCCAGACCTCTATGTCATGGTCATTCGTTTCTGCGAGACACTGCCCTGGGCACGTGTAGCCCAGCTCAGCGCCAGTCGTCAGCTCGCAGGGAGGACGAGCTGGCCAGGGTGAGCTCACGTGGGACAGTGGTCAGTGTGCTGTTCTGCCCGCAGGTGGCCCTGTCTACGTTTGCTGTCTATGTGACTGTCGACAAGACTCACGTCCTGGATGCCCAGAAAGCCTTCGTGTCCTTGGCCTTGTTCAACATCCTCCGCTTCCCCCTCAACATCCTCCCCATGGTCATCAGCAGCATCGTGCAGGTAGGGGTGCGGCTGGGCGGGCTTCTGAGAGGGCGTCTCTGGGGTCAGGGACATAGAGGGGAAGGGCATGGAAGGCCGCACTGCAGCTGCCCCTCTGCCACTCCCCCCACTGGCCCAGGTGGGCTTGGCAGGGCCCGGGCCCAGGTCGTCCCACCTGTCAGTCATGCCCAGGAGAAAGAAAGATGTTTACTTCTCAACGGGGAGCGCTGCTCAAGCACGTGACTCCAAAGTGTGATGCAGCAAAACTTGCCGTGCTCCGAGGAGTCTTTCTGGAATATTCTGCCCCAGTCTGTCCTGACCTTTCCCATTTTCCTAAAAATGCAACTCTTGACCTCCTTGACTGATCTCATAACCCAGTGCTAGGTCCTGACACACCCTTTGAAAAACCCCAGCCCAGACCCCGGAAGTTCGTGCCAGTGTATCATATGCGGGGAGAGGAGGCCTTCGGCTGTTGGGTGTCTGCGCTCAGTGAGGCCCTGACTGCTTTTCTGCCGGCGTTTTGTGCACTTCCTCCCTGGTACTGCTCGTGCTTTTTCTGAAAACTCCATCCTCAGGTCTGCCGGTGGTGTGGCTAAGGAGGCTGGACCCCACATGGCCAACTTGGCGGTGCGAGTCCCAGACCTGGTGGCTTGGAAAACACACCTGCCTGTACGTGTGTGCCCAACAGCCCGAGAGGAGAATGGAGAAGAGACTGCTGCGTGGCCATTCCCACTGGGGGTTGATGTCTCACCTTCTCCCTCTCACTCACGCTCTCTGTCTCTCGCTAGTAAGCACATGTGCCCTATAGCAAACAAAAAAACAAACAAACCCCCTCCGTCTTCACCCGTGTCGACAAATGGACCTTAAGATTTGGTTGAATAGCTCTGGTTATAGGCTTTATCAGAGACAAAGTCAGCACCTCTACTGTTGTGAAAACGTGCAGATGTACTCAGAAGTAGGAAGGATGTGGCAGAGCGCCCCTCGGCCCCTGCAGATTCAGCGTCAGCCTTTCACCACAGTTTCTTCTTCCATGCTTTTCCTTCCTCCCTCCCCACACTTCCTTCCCCTCCTTCCCTCCCAGACCCTGTGGCTTCTCCTCTGCGAACATGCCAGCGGCATTTCTTCTCACAGAATCCTGACACCACTGTCATGCCTAGTACAATCACCTGTGATTTCTTAAAAATAAAACCCAGTCCAGTTTCTTCTTTTTAGAAATTTTTGCTATAGGGCATGTGTGCTCACTGAAGAGGCAGAGAGACAGAAAGTGAGAAATCACCCTGCAGGGAGATGGCCCTGCCACAATCCCTCCTGCATTCTCCTCTTAGGATTTTGGGCATGCTCGCACATGCGCCAAGCTGAATTTCAGGCCGCCAGGTCCAGGACTCAAACCACAGTCGACCACATGGGAGTCCAGCATCCTAACCCCTCTATCACCCACCTTGTTCATATTAAAGCTTTGTGATGTCTCAGTGAAGTCTTCACGGGGTGTTAAAATCAGGCTGGCTGCCTCTGGTTGGGACATTTCTGAAGGCCACTTGTCATGTCAGTCCCTCTTACCTTGTGTGGGCTTTTAAAGGAAGCCTCCCCGGGGCCCAGAGGCATTTTATTTTTATTCTGAAGCATGCGTTCATCACAAGACCACGGCATCTTCAGAGCAGGGGAGGATGTGGGCCCTCCACGCCCAGGGGAAACCACTGAGGTTGGCCTCAGGCTTGTTTCACCAAAACGCTTCTCAGAAATAACTGCCCTGCAATTGCTTTCTGTGTAGGCGAGTGTCTCCCTCAAACGCCTCAGGATCTTCCTTTCCCACGAGGAGCTGGAGCCTGACAGCATCGAGCGGAGGCCTATCAAAGACGGTGCGTGCATGTGTCCTGCCATCGGGGCCAGGATGGCCACCTTCCCCTCACCCGTGGGCCCCCACTGACATCTTTCCCTTGGCAACCCTCAGGCTTGTCTCTGCCCAACAGCCTATTTGCAAGACCTCAGGAGCGAGGGCTCTGCAGAGTGAGCTGGACAGGAAAGTGAGCCGTCCTCCGAGAGTCCTCCCTGGGCCTCTCTTACCTTGCACGTCCCAGGAGGGTGAACTTGCATTTTCGCCTTCTCATCAGGAGAAGATAAGAAACCCTCCCTAGAGGGTTGAGCCAAGGATGCTGGGCTGGCGTCTCTCACAGGAGGGGTAACAGCCAGCACCACTGTACACTGGGCATCTTCCACACACCCACACCAAGATGCGCAGCCCCCAGAGTCAGGCTCCAGGGCTCAGGCCTGGCCAGGTGGACGGGCAGAATTAGAAGGCTGGAGACGGGCCAGCCTCCACCACGCACTGGCCATGCATACTTAGGGCCAAGCCTCAGTTTCCTCAGCTGCACCATGAGAATGGAAGGGCCTTTCCTTGGCAGGGCGTTATATGGATTTTTATTTTACAGTCATTTATTTTGTAGCTTGTTCGTTTTATCCTTTCCTGGCAGGTTCCCCGCACAAGGATGTTGTTTACGGCGGTCTCTCCCTCATAAACATTAAGTGCGAACCGCAGTGACGATTCACTTAGGCACCGTGTCTGCCATCTTTGTTCTAATGGTGTCAGTGTCCAGCTCACCCAAGGCTCCCTAGGAAGGGCCTGTACAGACCCCTTTTACAGATGAAGCTGGCCTATGTAACTTGGTGTGCAGTCACACAGTGACAAGTATAGTCTGAGTCACACCCACCGCGGGTCCCGTTACCCGCAGTGTGAGTTTTCCCAAGCACCTCCCACGTGCAAGCGTTGTTCAGAGTGCCCTGTGAGTATGTCTGATTGATGTCTCTTCATAGCCCTCTGAGGGTGAGTTCATTGTCGTCAGCTCTATTTGACAGATAGGACAGTGGGGCACAGAGGGTTGAGGTCCCTTGCCTGTGGCCATCCATCTGGGAAGTGGTAGTGTGGGGATGCGAACCCACACAGCCTGGCTCCAGAAGGCCGAGTGTGTGTGCATTGGTTGTAACGTGTGAGCAGTGCCCGGGGCTGGCAGCTTTCAGGAGTCCCCAGTGGTCTGTCAGCTCCTGACGTGGCGTGGGTACGTGGAAGATGCCCAGTGTAGTCGTGGTGGCCGTTACCCCCTCTTGTGACAGACGCCAGCTCAGCATCCTTGGCTCAACGCTCTAGGGAGGGTGGCTTATCCCAGCTACTGCCGACATCTGGGGATACTCTCCTCCCCAAAGCTCCTCCTTTTGGCTCCATAACTGGGTCATTTTCACCCTCATAATCCGTGATAGCATTGGGGGGACTGATGCTGTCGCAGGCAGGGTAGCTCTGTATTGTGGGGGTTCTCCCACGCATTGCAGGGTGCTGAGCGTCAACCCCCCTCCCTCCCCCCGGTGTGATAGTTTCCACAACCAGAAAGTCTCCAAGCATTGGCAGGTGTCTCTTGGGGAGCATTCGCCCCCAGTAACAATCACAGGCCAGGCCAGGTGCCATCTTCCTCCTAGCATCCCTGGCCTGTTGGTCATCTGGCTTCTGCTGTCGGGGACCAGGTCACCTCACACAGCCTGCAAACCATCTACCCCAGGGTCCAGTTTCTCTGTAAAACCCGAGCTGACATTCGAGGCAGCCAGAGGAGGTTTCTGGCTCCTGCCGTCATTCAGGGTTCGCTGCAAGTGCCAGCAAAGCCCTGGGCCTCCTGGTGCTGCAGGGGCCTCAGCCCTCCTTCGGCCCTCATGGCGGCCTCCTAGGCAGTTTGACTTCCCGAGCTGTTTCCCACACGCTCTCTGCTCCCCCTGCGCCAGCAAGACTGCCTGGCAGCTCTTGCGAGTCTCCCAGCTGGCTCTCTAGCTGGGCAGGCTCAAGTGGGCTTTGTGCGTCGCTTAAATAGCACCTAACAGTTTCCTTGCTCAGAGGTTCGTTTAGGTTCGCCAGTCATTTCTTTGGGCCGTGAGTTTTGGTTTCATCAATGGAGAGGGGAAATTGTTTCCTCCTTTGACAACCTAAAAAAATCTCTCCCTCCATTACCTACAGGTGTCTTTAAGGTGGCTCAGGATTAAGTGGCAGTCTTACTTCTTTTAAGTGAGGGACACGGAGTAAAGGAAAGTCAGTGGAGGAAAGGTACGCGCAGTCAGAGGCGCTGGGAGCCGAATAATGCAGCCTTTGTCTGAAAGGCGCCCTGCCCTGTGCCTTCACACCACACTTCCTGTTTCATGTCCTGCTTTTTCAGTGTCATAGAAAGCCAAACCTGCTCCGATGTGCCCTGGGTGGTATAGCTGAGGGCGGGGGGGGGGGGGGGG